ACCTAAGTTATGTCTGTCAATATCTCTCATCAGCTTTATTTCTGACCAAATCCACTAAAGTTTTAAATATTTTTTGCTTTTTTGCTTTGGTCGCGAGAATAATTTGTAGTGGCAAAACAAATGAACAGTAGGCAAAAGGAATCTATACAATTAATAAAATCGAAGTGTCTGTATGTAATATAGAAAAATTACAAAAACAAATGTAAAAAAAAATATCAGTCTGTCGGCAAATCCGAAAGCACCTGCTAGAATAATAACTAAAACATTGGGACAAGTACAATAGTAACCTCACGAATAGAATTTGCTAGTTTAACTCTACCCAAGAGACGAGTCCTTTCGCAAGCAGTTACAACTTACCTTAATAAATCTAGATTTCGTCTTACAATAGAAACGGATGAAAGAATAACAAAGTTAAGAGGGAATCTGTTATTTCCTCAAGGGTCCCTGTTCTATAATTTATGCAGGATCCTATCCTATGAATAGTTAAGAGTGTAAAGACTTTGAAGCACACGTCCTTGAAACAGAGAAGTTTTCCCCGAGGAATGGTTTTGTTTTGTTTTCCGTCTCTTTTACATATTAACAAATTCTATCATTGACTGATAACACAACATACACAAATACATAAGTATTTAAAATATATTGCTGATATTTTACTTTAAAGAGTTTTTCCACAGTTCTCTTATGTTCTAAATAAACACAAGTAAATAGTAGACTCTCAATAAAACTAAACTAGATAACATCAAAAAGGCGTACCCTATATAAAACGGGTAAAGCTTTTCGTCGTTTCTTTTTCTTCAAAATATATAGTAAAGGTAGTCTTTAGTCCATATTTAAATATATACTAGTCTCAATAGTAATAATGAAAATGCTTATCGAAATAGCTCAAAATAGGAACTATGTAATGGCAACTATGCGATCCCTTTCATAATGAAATACCTGCCGTGCTCCGCCGGCGCCGTGTGAGCCCGCCTTTACATCGAACATTATTTACCTCATTACCAACAAAACATCAAATCTTTCATAGCATAAGAGATGTTTACAATATCTGGAATTATTCGTACACTTTCACTGTAATTTATAGCGTTTAAAGTTTTAATTAGATTTAATTAAAACTTTGAAACATTAATAAAATAATTCATTTCTATAATGTTTTACCCGCTTTTACTTAGTTCCAAAGATAATTGTGTTCCAAATAGAAAATAAAACGATTCTAATCATTCGCATATATGAAGCAACCTTAATAAACAGCGATGTCAATATAAAGTACTAAACGCGATTGGAAAAAAGAACGTCAATATTCCTGAAATTAAACAGCCGCACTGCTCGGAATAATAATGAGTTTCATTCTGGACAGAATTTGCCGCTAGATGGAGCTAGGAACAACATCCTAACACACAAGAATCTCGTAGGGAAGAGGTTTCCCAAATTAAATGTCTTAATTATACAACAAATGTGTCAGGGAAAGGACTACTGGTTAAGTTTAAAATTATCCAAAAAGTAATCGATTTAATTAATTAAAATAACAATTGTTAAAAGCTGAAATCTAACTTTTCTTAATTTTACAAGCATCGATTGTCAGTATAGAGCATTTGTGCTGGTATACAAAATTGCAAAAAATGCCACCCTTATTTCTCTGTCGATCCCGATAGGCTACGGGTCCTATTAGTTTGGTAACGAGCGAGGTATCATGAATATGAAACTGTCTGCGCAGTATCTCGGGTGCAGACATTTTATTACGATCATCATTTTTACGGAACTATCTCGTTAAGAAACTTGCACTTTTCGTTTTTATTTTTACAAGTAACCAATTATTTTATTTAAAATTAGTCCCTAACCACTCTCCCACCCGATGTCTATAATTACTGTTAGGAAAAAAAACCGACACTGTGCCGATTTATCGGCGCAACACTAGGCTTATTAAATGTGAGTGTTTATTTCCCCTCACTAATCAAACTGACACTTGAATTGGTAACAAAAGCGCGCCATTCGCACCAAAGGATTCTAACTAATAATGTCTAAAATTGCTAAAAAATAGAAAACAATTTAAAAAATTAATCAATTCAAATTAAGAATTATTCAATAAAAATGTAATTTCAACAGTAGTTGTTGAAAGTCATTACAGATTTGTTGGTTTGGTATATTACTAACATTTATATGGTTAAATTATACTTTGTACCCAATTGTAACGAACATCGCCGTACCCTAATAAGGTACATGTACCTTTCAACAACCTTCCTGTCTTGCTACACAAAGTAAATATGAGATAAAGGACGTAAAATAAAAGACATTCATTGGCAATAGTAGATTGTAAAAAATATTTTCAGATTTGTTTTTAGTAAATCAATGTAATCATAAATTGTTTTAATTCTTATTAACATAAAAAAAAATCTTGATTATAAAGCCTTACATGAAAAATAAAATCGCAGTGACAAACTTGTTAATGATATTTATTCTGTCAATATACATATATACACATAATAAAATTAGGTTTTCTGTATGTAATATGGAAAAAGAATCACATTTCGATATTGTGATGTTTCTGCGTTGCTGATAATGAAAACCCAATTTTTTAAATTTTTAGCTGGCTGTATCTGTCCGGAACTAGTGGACCTGTTTTGACAACACTTTGACGGGCATATTATACGCTACATTTTTTTTCAATTCTGTGCTGACGAAGTCACGGGCTACCAACATTGTATCGTAAAACAGATAATAAAATGCTGTAACGAGCGTCGCCGCTAGAGTGCGCTGTTGCACGAGCGCGACTCAGACACGACTCCGCAACACTCATCAAAATTAAATAAAATAAACAGTATAATTAAAATTTAACTGCCACAGAGTGATAAATCCCGAATTAAAATGTTACACTCCGCATACAAGACAGATTTATTAATAAATAACGATAACTCTGGAGCGCTGCTGGGAGTTTGTAATTGAATAATGTGGACAGACAGACCGCACACACTTTAATTGATATATCGCTGCCACAGCTATAATAATAAAAACCCGTGTAATTGAAATTAATTATAGCGTATATTAGCATATAAAAATGTTTATTATCTAACAAGGGTAATTCCCCTGTACAACCGAATAGAAAAATAATACTGTTGTTCAACAATAAATCCATGTATTATTGTAATATTGTTGCTATACACGTGACTTCTATAAGTAATAACAATAATAATAGCTCATCCATTCAGAAGACAAACTCTTTATTAAAAATCAAGTATTTTAGTGTAAAGATAAAAGAACATGCTAAAAAAGGATTTGTTCATTGCTGATTTATCTTATATTTAATTATAGTTTTTGATATATTAATATCTATAAAATATGTTTCAGTCTTTATAACAATTAGTGTACATTAATTCTATGCGACAAAACTTACTATTTGACCCTTGGAAATTTGAACCCATAACCTACTTTGTGTTTCGTCAGCAAGCGTTGTGATGTACGTTGTAGTTATCACGTACACATAAAATAAGTGAAATTAAACAAATAGCCGTTATGAGATTCAAGTCACGAATACACATACAAAAATTATTATAGATTTATGAGTGCCGTAAGTTGAACATTTTTATTCATAAGTATACTGTTGACAAACTTAAGTTCATTTCACTGTGCACTGGATTAAACTATTAAAATGTGATGTTATTACAAACCATAAACAACTCCCAAGTAGAGAGTTTAGAATAAGAAATTAAGATCATGAAGAAATAATGTTATACACTATTCAGCGCACAAAATATAAATGTTTTAAAAGTTAAATTTTAAATAAAAATACGCTGGTGGCGCGGTCTAAGTTTGCGATGAATTTTAAGTTATTCAGCTGACCCGATCCATTCAAGAAAAGCTATTGGCTCGATCTATAACGTATAACTTATGCTTTATTAAAAGGTTCATCGTCGTATAGTCAATATATCGATATCGACAAAACATCACTACTGCTCGTGACGTCAAATGTATAAAAATACGATATGAAATTACTAGCCGTTATCTCTTGCTTACAATTCAAACAATACAAAATAAACATTGACAAATACAGTTGTATTTAATTTGTTTTGAACACACTCAGTGTAATTATAAATATTAAACAAGGAAACAGACTACCGACCAGAATTTTCAATACTAAGATTCTCAGTGTATATAATATAGTTACAAAATATATCGTATTTTAAAAATGAATATATAAGAGGTGTCATTTTTAAATATCTATCATTTATTTAAAAAAAATATTACGCTATTGTACGATCAAATTAAATTATTCTGCCAAAATAAAAAATCGAAACCGTGTACACAAATTGCACGCTCGCGTAATCAATAAATCTTCTTATAATAATATACAACAAAGAGAAAAATCATACAAACAAATCAATAAAATCTTTTCGCTAATAATAGATCACAAATTAAGACCTTGAAGTCAAATTATTAAACACGGATTATAAACAAAGAAGAGGTCCAAAGTTCACAATTAGTGATGTGAATGTACATAAGAGCATCGACAAAATAATTAAAGTTTCTGAAAACCGTGATATATTACGTAACACAAATAATACATACAAGTGATTATTCGCTTCTGCAAAATATATGAAAGCTATTACGTAATTAACTCCATTTTTATTTACGACTTATTGTTTTTACTTTTATGCGAACGAGCACGTGTTACACTTTTTTCCTAAATTTATGGCCTATATGTTTTGTTTTTAATAAGCTTTAAACCATAAAGGACGTAATTTGTGTTTAAATGATGACTTCATTACAAATTATCTGTCATGAAGATATTCCGATTACTTTAAGGACATGCTCTATTCCTTACACTTTAAAGTTATTACATTGCTTTACGAAACTGTGGTTAAATTTTACGTTAGTAGTAAAAGACGTCAATTAAATTTTCACCATAACTGTAATTCCAAAATGATTGAATAAATATTTAATTAAAGATATAGAATATCGATAACACGAAGTCACATCACTATTGATATTGGTCCCGCCGTTTCGTGTTTTGCAGCATGCATTATAAAACTATACGTCCTGAGAACAACACGCATGCTACCAAACAAAGTTAACGATCGTAATATAAACATGTTCAGTGTCGTGTAAAAATCAATTAAATATAGCTTTATTGTTTTATTTGGATTTATAAATTATTATCAAGTGAAAATGTCCACTTCGGCGATATTGATTCGTCAACTTGTGTGAGTTTTTTTATTTTTATTTGCTTTACTTTTCGTATATTTCTCTTATTTAAAAAAAAAATAAAAAACATTACAGTTAAAATATTGTTTATTTTTTTTATTTCATTTCACTTACGTATTTATAATTTTACGTTGTATTCGCGTTGAGCTATTTGTCAACATCGTTTGCTTAAAAAATGCAACCTGCTTGATGCAGTCAACTAATTACTTATGAATGTGTAAGAACGCATAGGGAATTTAAAAGGAACGTATAGGAAACGAGTTCTGTCACTTAAAACGTAAAGTTATTTATAGACCTATGCTTGATAAAAATATAAAAACACGACCGCTAACCCGGTTATAATACAGTTACAAAAAATCCGCGTAGTTTTTGCGTCTCGTATGACCTCAGTTCGATTCTACACCAATAGGCAGTAGACACACTTTCCTGTTCCTAAGACTCGACATGAAATGCTCTGGATTAACTTCCTGCCAGATAGAAAACTATATAGTTTAATCAGCTGTTAAAAGATTATTTGATATTGTTGATTTCCGCTACCAAAACATATGGTAGCGGAATCTTAACACAAATATATAGTCATCCCTATCGTTCTCTTTGTATAAATCAGAGACAACAATATTTTTAAACAGTCTTTAGAAAACCCAAACTCCAAACATAAAAATGTTAACATAATACGATCTACAAATACTTTCTTGATAACAAAAGACGATCAATATTTTTACACTAATCCATTTAACAGTGATTCATTATGATTGTAAAATAGATTCGTCCCATGATAGTAGAGGTCGAGTGAGGATATTAGGGGTATTTGTTATTCACCGCACGAGCACAGTAACTCGAGAACGTAGTTATCTAATCCCGCCTTGTTAAGATACTAGTTTGATCAGCATTCTCCTGACCACTTCCTGACCTGTGCTGCGGTACGATGGATTTAGTTACTGATACTTCACATACAGTTTATGTTACGAAATGATAGTAAAAAAAAATATGTTATGGATGTACGTTTGATTGCACTGGCAACATACATACAGTGGCTCTTTAATTTAACAGTTTAAATAATAAATGACAGCAACAGTCTGCAGTCTTTTTAGACTTAATTGTTTAAAAGCTAAATAATGAAACATTACCAAATATACCACTCTGACTTACGATATTCTCTGAACTGGTGTTGCCTTCAAATACTTCAATTTCAAATATCTTGAGGTATTTGTAAACAAACTCACTAATCAGCTGGATTAAATCAGAGACGCAGTTGTCGCATTTATTCATGCGTTAAATGATATCACTTAGGAATAAATCGATGTAGTAAATAAATACTTGGTACATGCTGGCTATACATAATAATTGTATTGTTAAACGTTGACCATGAACTTGTGGGCTTGACGCTCGGCACTAGGTAGGCGAGGTACGTCAGACCATATTCTACGACGCAGTCTTCGTTCTATTTGAATTACCAGTTTACAGTACTACATTTTTAGCGAAGTCAATAAAGTCGATATTTGCACCATAACTCTTTCACGTCCCGGCGTAATGATCACGAAATCAGACTGACGTGACTAATACGCATTACATTTTAAAAGTTTATAGTAGAACATTATAATGTACTACGTTAATATGTTCATAAAGACTCGGTGTGCTTTCTCCTTGCAATAATACACATATGATAAATTGTTCAGTGCAGATTTACACATTCTGCCAAAGACGTGGCATAATGGCCACGAAGAACCTTTGCCTTTTTAATCATAAAAAAAGATACTGAAAAGAGAGAAGAGAATCGCGCGGGAAGTATTAACAGCGAAACGTAGTCGTGAATAATAATATTGTAAATAATGTATATAGTTTTTGTATAAGGATTTTAACAACGCAATAAACGCATTTTGGCTGCCGTGCTGATGTTTTGAATTTATACAGATATTTCAAATGATTTGAGGATAGATTGACACTTAAAGATTAACGATTGCATGCAAGTTACCATTGGTTTTTATGGCATAATTTCACATAAAAGATGTTGCAGGGAACGTCTACAAGCGATCAAATATATATTAATTCAGTTTTTTGTTGTTAGCATTCCTCGCCAATCTCGCCGGCGGCTGTCGGGCAGCGGGCAGCGCGGCGCGGCAACGTCGCCCCAGCGTCGCGTCGCACCCGCGCCCGCGTCACAACCACGTCCCTTCGCGCACATTCCCGGACCCCTCGCCCTGCCCATGCTGCGACACTCTGCATACGTACTGCCCAGGATAGGTGAGACAGTAACACTAACTGTGCATTTCCACTGAGACTCGGAGACTGAGTCCGATGTTTTGGCATATGTGTTTCCGCAGTTAAAAGCCACTTCAACTTTCGTAACGTTTTGAATCTATATTTGGACCAGAACTTTCACGTTTGTTGTGATAACATCGTGTAACGTAAGTTTGATTCTAAAACATTTCGTTATCGATTTGTATTTCAAAAATAATGGATTTAAAAAACCGTACAAATAACAGACAGACAAAATAACAAAAGAAAGTTGTTTCATTCGATATTCATTTATCACAATAGCATTAAAAATAAGAACCGTCGTCTCCATTGCATCTGTTATAACAGTACAACAGATAAAACAAAGTGTCTCATCATGGCCGCGCTGACGATTGCCGCGAGCTCACACTGTCTAGACACTTTACGACGGCTTACAACTATCTTTGAAGACGTTGGTTGTCACTGAAATAAGACATTATAACTAGCAATTCATAAAGAGATCGAATTCTGTACAAAAATATATAATTAACCAATAATAACTAAAATGTACCTTTATAAAATTTAGGCTTTCACAAATAAATCTTAACATTTTGCGAACTAAACAAAATAATACGCACATGAAATTAAACTCTTTATAATTTTAATTCAAACTTATTATTGATAATTTTACGTTTACAGAGTCATAGTCAAAAATATACCAAACTAGGCAATTTAACTATTCTGTAATAATTATTGTAAAACGCATTTCCGCAAATTATTCATTTATTCGTTATATAGCTTTTTAAATAGGCTGGTAAGAATATTTAGTGCGCAGTCCGCGTGGGGGCGCTGACTCACCTGCGGACGGAATGTTAATTCTGCACGCGCGTGCATTGTTAATTCTGTCCGCTGCGTCGCTAGTGTCGCACAATTAATATCTTTGTTATGCAATTAATTTCGACAATTATATATCTATACAATTGTAGTAAATTATTTTAATGCACATGGTGGAAAACGTGACATCCATTAAATTTTACAAACTGCAACATTAAAGAATCGGTCTTGAATTTAAATATTTAGACTAATCTTATTATAACGTTGCGAATAAAAACCAGTTGCACTTTCTAATCTAATCGAATGAATAATAAATCGCAGACAAAAACGAGTCAGTGAAAGGCAGAACTAACGGTTTCATAAGACTAGTAGCTTTGACATTTTGGACATCTAGCCTGACGCTATAATACGTTGTATGTGTAGGCGTATACGTGGTATTTACGTTGTAACATTGTATTATTAAAAAAAAATCTTGTCTGTTGTCGTACTATGTTGCTAAGTAAATTTGTTTTAAATTACACACAAAACATACTAGTTTTCAGAAACAGACATAAATGTTAATACATAAGATTATGGCATACAGGGAAATCGGAATCGAAACAAATGCAACATTTCGCCATTCGACCAAAAAATAAAGCCCTATGTGCTATAACCACCCGTGTGTTCTGGTCGTTAAAAACGTATCAACGGGCAACCTTTTACGGACTATTTACCCGTATGTTCTTTGCTATTGAATATTATCTTACTCAAACTGATATATTATATTTATAGTTAACTAGACTCTGTATGATTTTTACAACCTTTTCTTTAATTTATACAGTTTTACATAGAAATACTATGGACAAAATCAGTGGCTATTGATAGTATTTGTCTGACGCAACGTAAACAGCTCGACTCATTTTAAAAATATGGCTCATTCCATTCATATTTATCTTAATATTGTCATAAACCCAGTCATTTTGATGATTACTGGTTGTTCACTTAGATAGTATTTTATGACAAACATAGCTTTATTCAAACTATTTGTTCCCATTCGCCAGGTAACTTCCACCACTCGGTGGGGTTGGGCCTGCTGGAGGGCCTGCAGGCGCGCTACGGGGACCTGGTGAGACTGGCCAAGGGCTCGCGAAAGCGACCAGTGCTCTACGTCTTTGATCCTGAGCTCATGAAAGAGGTAAGGTAACCTTCAATTATATCTCTAATTAGCTAATATTGTTTATCAAAGCTTATAATAGATTTGATAGGAAACTGTTAGGTGTCAGTAATTCGAGAAAAAAAAGATGTGTTTAGTAATTTGAAAAAAATTCCGGTGATGCATAACTCTAGTTATCTTTTTAAAGAATAAAAACGTAAATTGAATCGACAAAGGTAATTTCACGTCCCATCTGATAAATGAAAACAGTAAACATAAACAGATAGTTTCGTCTCTTTGTCTGATTTACTAGTGGGAACTAGTGACCGGTGCGCGAGATAAATCCTTTGCAAAACAAACATCGCCATTCTCGTTATCGGCCAGAGTAAACACTTTGTTATGATATATTCAATATCTGGACAATATCACGAGGCTGTTATACATTTATTGTTACAAATTACCTATGTTAAAACTTGCATTTGTTTAATGTCAATAAAGCATAATACTATCTTTCTTCTTACTAATATTATAAATGCAAATGATTAAATGGATGAATGTATAGATGTTTGTTAGAAGGTATCTCCAGAACGGCTAAAATTTGGCATATATGTAGAACATAGTCGGAACAACGCTTAGGCTATTTTTTTTATATTCACACGGAAGGAGCCGCACGCGACGGTAAGTATAGTCATGAATTGATGTACATTTAAAGTTTGCAAACAATATCCTAATTATAAACAATAAAAAAAAACTTTTTTATTTATTTCCCGATTACTAGAGGTTAATAAAACATGTAATAAATCTGCGTTTTATCTGAGTTTTATCACATTGACGTAGGAGCGGGTCATATAATATATGTTATATCATAGCATGCACTGTCCGATGCGCACAAAATATAGTACGCTATCGCTTGCTACCAGTTTTATTGCACAGATAAACAAACCGTTTTTGTGTAGTTACATATTTTGTCAGACTTCGTTTTTGAACCAAATTGTTGGTTACAAGTTTTTTGACTCAACTAATTTTAAACCGACATGAAGTCAATGGTAGATCAAATCATTGTAAAATTCTACTTTTTGAAAAATATAATTATTATAAATAAAAATTCATAATTTCATAAAATCAAGTGTAATTAATATTAATAATTAATTCGTTATTCTGCTTTCCGAACATTTAATTATGTGTTGAAATTTAATATGTAATTCTTCTTTACCTATTCTAACATGTTCTCCCCTGTCATCAATGAATGCGGGGTCACTGTACAGACCCGCTTCGGCACAGTTTTCGGCCTGTTTATAATGGCATATAAATCATTTAGATAACTGGCACATTTGAATCGCACGCATCCCGCACGAGCCTCGCACGTGATAACAACCTGATTGCTTTATTATTGGAAATGTTAATCAATGATCAGACTATTGTTTTGTTTGTCAATATATTGTTAAGTTCGTAAGTCAAAAATAATAAGCTTACAGACGTAGTATTTTATTAGTAAGATGATCTGGAAGTTCTGGAATGTGCTTGTTGTAGGTGTACGAGAGCAAGGTGACGCGGCCGCCGCAGTGGGAGCGCTCGCCGCTACAAGAACAACGCCGCCGCGCTCACAACCAGCACTCCTTGCACAGGTACAGCATCAAGATGTCAGTGTTACCGACGATATTATATATCCGGCACTTTTCTTTAGGATTATAAGAACTGTTAAATGTTAAATAGTCTAAGTGTGACAATATTTTGCAGCGACGAGACGAAAGATATCTGGTCCGCCATCGGCACGCTGCTGCAGGACGAAACTTTTCTCAACAACTATGATAAAGTATTCGACGACATCGCCGCTGATTTCACGCGACGGTATACTTCTTCATATTATTACACACCTATATCTTTTTCCATATCGTAATAGCACGGGAACACTAATGGAAACTAGTTTCAGCTGTAGAAATGATGTCATGTTCCAGTATGGGCGAGCTCCGACACCTGGAGAACGCATTGAACGAAGAGATATCTACGGAGGTGTACCGCTGGTCGCTGGAGACGCTCGGCGTGGTGCTGCTCGGCATCAGGCTCGGCTGTCTGGATGGACCGGCTCATGTCCCCACAGAACTAAACAGGTATCGCTTCTGGACCGCCGAATTGTCGAATCTCGTTCTGTAGCTATTGCTTAATAACTCGTGTCCTTAACTGGAGATCGTCGATTAGAAGAGCGAGGCCTCAAGCGGAGGTTCATCAGGCAGTCTCAGTGGTAGCGGTAGATTTGAGAAATATCTTTCCACCGATTCTCAACATATTCAAAGTATATTTAAACTATATAATTAGAGGCAAAGAGAAGACGTCTCTGGAGGACGACACTCCGGAGACCTGTTCGCTGTGGAAGCGAAGCGAGGAGGAGCTGAGCGCGGCTGAGCTGCTGGTGCGCTGCAGCCTGCAGGTGGCTGGGGGCGGACATCTGCTGCGCTCTCATCACACGCTCAGGAGGGATTCGGACACCTTCACCAGTGCGCTGCGAGCCTTCGACATGCATTACAGGTAACATACATTAAATACATTTTTTTATAATCATAGGGCTATGCCTAACTTAACACTTACTTATTTCTTATAGGAAAAGAGAGATATCTAGCCTGTGTCTAGCGAAAACATTTCACGCGACAGTTCGTGCACATTGCTGTCTCTAAAATGTCCACTTTGTTACATTCAGTTTAACGGAGCAGTTCGTGTCGCGCGCGATGCACGCGCTGAGGAGGAGCTCGGTGCGGGCGGAGCAGGCGCTGGTGCAGAGGCTGCACGTGCTGCAGGACCGTCTGCCGCCGCTCGCCTCCGACCTGCTGCTGGCCGGAGTCGAGCCGGTCAGTTCTACGAGCATCATTTTATTGAAACTATAAAACGGCAACATTTCTGACTCGACGTGTGGTGTGCAGCTGGCGCAGACGGCGCTGAGCATGTTCTACCAGGTGTCCCTGCAGGCGGCGCAGCAGCAGCGCGCGCACGACGAGGTGTCGTGGTGCGCGGCTGCGCGTGCTGCGGGCGCGCCGCACTCCTCGTGCACGCGCCTGCCCTACCTCCTCGCCTGCGTCACCGAGACCCTGCGCCTCTTCCCCGTCACCGGCGGAGTCGTCAGGCGCACCGCACAGGATATCACTCTAGCTGGATATCAAGTGCCCGCTGGGGTCAGTTTGTTCTTTACATCTCATTAGAAAAAATAAACGTTAACATGATAAATTTACTTGTGTTCTGTATGCAGGTGGACATAGTGCTGGCGCACGCAGTGAGCAGCAAGGATGAGAAGCAGTGGGGGCGAGGGAAGTGCTTCATCCCGGAGCGGTGGTGCAGCAGCAGCAGCAGCAGCAGCAGCAGCAGAGACTGGGAGCCGCTGCGTGCGAGCCGCGCGCACCCCGCCGCCTGCAGACCCTTCGGGGAGCGGTGTCCAGCTGGCGGGCTGGTCGGCACCGTGCTGGCCGCGCTCGCCACCAGGCTGCTGGACAAGTACCGCCTCGAGTGGCACGGACCAGCACCGACAGTAGCCATCGCCGCCCTCAACAAGCTGCAGCCGCCCTACTACTTCGTGCTGCAAAACGCTTGCTGAGTCAACTTTTCTCTTCTACCAGATGACTGAGTCCAGTAGAGAGTACACTCGCACCTTCTCATTGTACACAATCTTTTGTAAACTCATCAAATGAACATTGGAACTCTGTTATTATAAAATCAAATACATGAAGGCTGTGAATTTATTCGTAACTGACTGACTTCTTTCTGTCACTCGTTAGTTCAAACATTCCATAAGAATGAGGGCCTTTATTCTTCTATTTCAAATGTTTATGTCGCTGACAAGATTAATTAAGCAATGGCGATGATATGATTTATAGTTAATCATTTCAATCATTATTATTACTATTGTTAAGTTAAAATTGTATTATTTTTATATTTAACTTAATTCCTAGAATTATAATTTGTTAATAAATATTTTTAAAACATAGCATTTTTATTTTTATAACTTCATCTAAAATCAGCTTTTGAAAATATAATTTATAAACATAACTCCTTAATATATCCATATTAAAGCAAAAAACATAAGCTCATTTGATTCCATTGAAATGTTGCGAGTTTCTCTGTAGTTGATAATTTAATACAAAGTTCATTCGTCAAAGTGAAATCTCTGCTCGTTCACATCTCGGAGCTACATACAATATGTAAATGTTATTATTCTCTTGTTCACGTACAACTATTTCTTTATACAGAATTAATGTAAAGCTTTTATACGTTTGAGATTGTACAAATTTTAACATGTATACCGTATCTAGTATTCTCTTCCTAAAGTTATACTTATTTACTGGTTAAAAAGTGATTGTAACGTTGTCATTTTATATATTTGTTTTTCGTTGTTTCTCCAATTTATTTGATAAAGCTAAAAATGTTAATAATATTAAGCCTGAAGTCTGCAATAAAAGTTGTACGTGACGTCATTTAATATAAAGTCCAATAAACTGAGAGAAAAAGTACATCAATTAGTCGTTTGTAATTGAATACAAAATTCATTCATCACGAGACGTCCGAACATCGCTTCGATTTAATTCATCAAGACGAATGGAAACTAAATAAAAACAAACGTTAAATAACGACAATCACATTTTATTACTCTCTTTTATTTATCAATTCTATGTAAGAACTTTTATTTCATCTATTACAAATTATTTTAAAACCGTATAAAAAACTTTGGCAAGTTGACGATTTTTATCAATGAAATACCGAAACGTTTGTTTTCTAGAAGTTGTCGGAATGGAACTTACTTACAAAACATAGATACTCGGGAATCACACACATGAGTATGGTCTAGAGACAGTCGAGCAAAAATATCTTTGCGTAAAATATGAAAACGATGTTCTTCAACAGAGAAAATAAAAGACATGCGAATAAAATTGACAAAGTTTCTCGTCTGTCTGACATTTAATGCGCAGTCAGCAATATCTGCAAGTTTACTTTTTATTTCAGTTGACTGCAGCTGGTGTATAGAATTACCACAAACTACTGTTGTTTTTCATAGTTTTTCTTCTGAACTATATCGTATTTTACATCAATAAAAAAGATCTTTGAAATGATTCTTTTGAAGAAATAAATGAAAACGTAATTTTAAATGTACATAAAACATACGTATCCACAATTGAAATTTGAAATTAATTCGATAAAATGTTGATATACACGAGTATTGTCTATAAAAATAAATAGCGCGCAATCTTTAAATTATACGTTTTTTTCTTTATCTTAAAGATCCGATCTTTGCAATGGCTTAGTGTAAAACAAAAAAGATCACATTGAAATAACTAGGGCGACCAAATCCAGGCTTAAGGCTCCAAGTAAAAATTGAAAGTAATAGTCTCAGTTTGAGTACATTTGTCCCGCGGGAAATGAGTTCGGTTTATACAACGGCTGGGTCACGATTTTTCTATGTAATGTAAGATTGTTTCACATAACGCAGATTGGAGACGCCAACAGAAACCGGACAAACAAAAACTTTTTAAATTAAATGAAACAAAAGTAAAGGCGCCACATTTCGTAAGTGTTTTGTTTCGAGCGCTCGAACGTATATTTTGTAGACTAGTAAATGCATAAATAAATAGCTTTCGCCCGGAACTCCTTCCGTGCCAAATTTAAAAACTTTTTTAGAGATTTAAAGAGATCCGTTGAGCCGTTTATAAGATACTTTCAAACAAACATCCATCCATCCATACGCATATATTAGTACGATACACATGTCACAATATATACATATGTCACAATTGTAGCTTATAAAATCGGATTAAAAATATAAGTATTAAGTAGATATTATACCTAGTTTAAAATTTAAATTCACTACAAAGTGTTGTTTTAAACGATTTATAAGACCACGAATTGCTTCCTAAATAAATAACAGTCAATAATTCTTATTGTCTCCCATTGTTCGGCGAGTCCCGGGCTCGAGGGAAATTACAAGCCGCAGTACAGTGCAGAATAGAACTCGTGACTGCCGGAAAACCGCACCAAATGCAGTACACGCTTTTGTCTGCGTCGCATACTATATACTGACAAGGTTCTTATCATTTTACGTATGAAAATTTAATTTAAAATTTATAATATTTATTTTTATAAACACTTGGGAACTTCTGCGAAACGCCTTCAATGGACATAAGACTTTGATACTTTACTTTAATTTCAAAAATAACTATTTTATTATGGTGTTAAAAATATTAACACATATTTAACCTTAGTAGAGAGAAGTAAATTTAAACCCCATCATCGTGTCTCCCGTTTCCATTTTATGTGTGTAAGAATAACCGGAAGGCTTCGTGTAATTGCAAGGGGTCCGTTACAAGCCTCATTCGTTGCTCTAAATGAGCCAACCCAAACGTTACTCTATTTCACCCTTGACGTACTGTAGCGGGGGTAACAATGGCCTTGCGGAAATTAAACTATCTTGTTAACTGCACTACGGTCAAAGATAAAATAGTTTATCTTTGACACGAATATGTAGAAGAAAATGTATGCTATATAATTTTATTATTTTTGTAATTAACGTAGAAAATTATAATGTAAGAACTAGCCAGTACAAGCAAGTTGTTACGTGTGAACTTCGGACTAAGTTTTAATAAAAATAATTTATTTAAAGTAAAAAAAAACTCTTCGATTCGTTTAATATGAGCCGATTAAAGCGTGCCTGTAAATATCGGGCAAAGTAGACGTGAGATTTTGTGGCAGAATTTTAATTTATGTGTCGCGCACGAATTGCTTTCGGGAATTGAAAACCTAAAACACTGAATCAATAACCGGCCACACGTTGATTTATGATTGTAACGCAAAATACATTTAGGTTACTATAAATTGTGCTATTTGGAAACAAATATTTCTGCTTTATATATTCTTTTAAATCATTATTCAGATGATATTTTTGATATATTCATTTTGGATAATGAAGTATTTTACTTAGGAAAACCTTAGTGTAGATTTTTCACTAAATCTATACAAAAAGGCAGTGTGTCTGTTCAAGTACCAAATTATAATGTTATAAGGGGATTGTAAATATATTGAAATAACGACACAATTATGGTTATAATATGTATATTCTCATTTAATATAAAAAATTATAGATATCCACTATGTATTTACAAAATAAGTAGATGGCGAAGTTGCATCCCTTGACTTGCGGAAACGGATTTCAAATATAATACAGCTGACGAGTTTGCCGTCTGATGCCGCTTGCTGACGTCACCACAAACAAATAATACTGCATGCGTCGCGCCCCCTTCACCTCCCTCGCCTTCACCTTTGGCGCGCAACATGGCTGACAACTGACAGCTGTCACACTTTGACACATGTCAAAAAACAATAATTTTAGTGTTCTAAACCATCAATGTTTTATAGATCATTTTGTTAAATTTATAGATAATGTCATCTTTTTATTTATAAACTTTGTCTTTTTCCTGAGACAGTAGTCTAATAAAAAGAATATTAAACATACAAAAAAATAGCAAACGGCTACAGACTTTGAACAGTAAGTATCCTCTTTACGTACTATTTTAACACAAAAAATAGTACTGTGACAGCTGTCAGTTGTCAAACAATGGCTTTGGATGAAAATATATGTCACAAACACAATTTTGAATAAATTCTCTAAGACACTATGCAGTTGCGGACCAATAATTATAAATTCTCAACTTAAAAAATATTTTTAAAATCTAGTTTGTGCTACAAAAATGAAAAATAAATATTTCTTTTTTTATTTCATATAGAATTTTTTTATACATAAGAAGACAACCACATAGCATCTTTTATTCCGGACTAGATACAAAAAACAAACAACTGAATAAAATTTGTAGAGGGTCTCTGTCTGTACTGTACTCATATCATGTGACTGGACAATTTCGTCAGACTTAATTACTTGACTGGAACATTGTTTATTGCTTTGACGTTACAACATGCATTGACACACACATACAAGTCCATTTTACCATACAGCAAAATTCCCTCACGACTTTAAAAATATTAAAAGGTGTCAAAGGACACAAGGCACATAATGCATTAAATTCATCCAAACGGGATGCGAAAAACATATTTATATACATACTGTTAGTCCGTCGAAATATTAATATGATTTATATATATAATGGAGCGGATCATATACTAAATAAATTCACTGTCAGATCTAAAATAAAAACCATCCAATTGCACCGCGACGTCCTTCTGGACACGTAAAATCATTATGTACTTATAACCTTAACACAAAAACCGTTAAATTAAAAAAAAATGATATTTAATTGTTAAATGCGTGCGCGATATACCGCCCTGTATTTACTTCTACGATTGTACATAGTTTTTACAAAAACCGCGGCCGAAGCCTTTACAAAAACGTCATGATATGTACACTATGTATTTATATACTTAAACTAAACTAAGTGATCACTGAACTAACACAACATCTGTCTTTTTACAAACTAACTTCTATGCCCTAAATTTTAGAGCACCCCGACTATAATACACGACCGAAAATTAATTATTGCCATCAATATAAAACATGTAGTTATTTCTGAACAATATTCATGAAAAACATAAATATTTATTGTAAAATTTTGTTGAAAACTGTTCAAATAAAGCTCTCCCATTTATTTTCACATTTATTATTCAAATCACTTCATTACTGCGCGTTGTTAAAATCCATTTAAAACTGAGAAATAATTAAACTAGGCCCAAAATAAACATCTTCAGATACCATGCAATGTGGTTAATTTTTATCGGTCCTGTTAATTGCGCGCCATTAAATTCTTTAATACTTCCATTTAACCGGCAACCAAGTCTATGTTCCACCCAACGTAAGTTGAACCACACTTTGAATCACATTATCACTGTATCAGGGTCTAGTAACGGTGGATGCGTCCATCATACGCCCAGACCAACACAAGTTGAACTTCAAGCCACTCAGTGGGTTAACGAAGGTTTGATCACCACCGTCAGTTGAACCGCACTTTAAGCCACAAGGTAGGTCTCCAAGAGTCTGGCGTCTATGGTTTCAACGAACTACCAGTCCAAAATTCGCGCGGACAACCAGCGTAAGTTGAGCCGCAACTCAAACCGGAGCGCTTGCTACTGGGGGTCACAATCGATGGCAGTAGCTTCACACGACGACACCGACGTAAGTTGATCTGCACGTCAATGATTTGATAGTTTCAGCGGGCACACGAGCAGCCCATGGCGCGTCACCAGCATAGGTAGAGCTGTGACGGCGAGGGCCTACCGTGGCTGTGGTAGGTCTCAGTCCATAGGCTGCACCTGCAGCACGGTGGGCGTGGGCGGTATGGAGATCTCGTACTTGATGAGGCCGCTGCGGCCCGTAGACAGCACCAGCCCGCCCACCTCCTTCACATCGCTGTAACACATCGTTTTAGGATATGTAGACAATGGTAAGTGGAACAAACATTCAGTTAGCATAAGTAAAAATAAATATGGTGCTCACTAGCGCCTTTCTTTTATGCCATTTTTTATTAATTTTCTGAGAGAAGCAACCGATAGCAGCGCTTCTCTCATCGGGATATATATCCTTGTTTGAGTATAGAATACAATTAGATGGTTAACTTGACATAGGAACAAAGTACAAGTACAAGTATAGTGTACATACGTGTTGGCGTGGTGCCTCGCTGCGGCAGTCTTCTGAGGCGCGTGGTGCGCGGTGAGCGGCTTGCCGTCGCGCCCGATCACGTGTAGCGGAGTGCCGAACACGCGCCGCTGCACGCCCCCCAGTGACCCCACCAGGATGTGGTTGCCGATCACCTGCCCCGACCGGTTCGTCACCTGCACAGTTAAACACATTGTATATTTTTGAGCTGCGGCTCAACAACATATTTCTCAAATTAAATCTACGCTAAGCAAGACCGCATTACATCTCTGATTGTGGCATTAATAATTCATTTTAGACTTACAACTTGTATGTGCGTGGGTTGCTGGTGCTCTTGCTGGTCCATTTCGAGGTTATTCTGGTGATGCTCTTGCTGCTGTTGTTGTTGCTGTTGTTGTTGTTGCTGTTGTTGTTGTTGCTGCTGTTGTTGTTGCTGCTGCTGCTGCTGTTGTTGTTGCTGCACTTGTTGCGCGACTTGTTGCGCGACCTGCTGCGCGGCTTGCTGCGCTGCTTGTTGCGCGGCCTGCTGCTGCGCTTGCTGCGTCGCCTGTTGTACTTGTGACTACAGAACAAGAAAGGAATATTATTTACATTTTAATTCTAATAACATGTTAGTGAATTTGATCTGAGCAGCGGAAGATATTTTTACGGCCAGTTTCATTTTAGACCGCTGATAAGTATCACAATAAACAATTTTATAGCATTGTATGTTCCACATGTATCAATGCGTTTTGAAATAAATAGCCAGACTTACGGAGGTCACATTTAGTATAGAATAGGGTGGGTAGGGGGTGGGTGTATCTGTACTCACATTCCTGGGCGGCAGGTCCATGTGCTGCCGCTGATGCAGCATGAGGTGGTTCTTCTGGAAGAAGGCCTTGCCGCACTGGTCGCACACGTGCGTGCGCAACGTGCAGCTGCCGTCCGGGTGTCTAACGCATTATTTACATTATTAAGCATAAATGTAAACACAATACAAACTTGACTGTAGAATTTTTAAGAAGCATGTTGTTTACCTTCTGTGATGCGCCTGCAGTCCGTGCTTAGCCGCGAAACCCTTCCCACAATCCGCACAAAAGTGAATCTTAGGCCGCGGCGGAGTTATGTGCTGGTTCTGACAATACAAATAAACATATTTTAACAAGTTTACAATTTACATTATATAAAATTAAATAACGTAAACATTACAGCTTATAAAGAAATCAACAAATGTACTCACCGGCGCTATAACTTGCGTATGTACCACATTGTTGGGATTTGAAGATATTATTTGGATCGGTTGTGCTGGAAATAAAGTATTACAAAAATATTAACTTTATTACTTCATTGATAAGATATTAAATGATATGTGTGTGTATGAGGTTTGTATAATATTTATTGCGCATGTGGGGTGGGTAGTTGAAGGATGAAGTCGGGGGCATGTACGTACAGTGTTGGGGCGGGTGGTGCGCGGCGGCGGCGTGGTGCGCGGCGACGAGTCCGGGCTGGAGCGCGGCGGTGAGCGCGCACAGGTCGGTGACGCAGGTGCGGTCGCCCGCGTGCAGCCGCAGGTGCAGCGACAGCGCCTCCTGCACGCACACACAGACATGTCATTCTTGTAACCGACAAGTTATGACTCGCAAATATTTTAATGATTAAATTAATAAATACCTTAGTATTGAAACATGAAACACACTCGGGACACACGTAGCTGGGGCCGCTTTTTTCTGACAGTATTTGTCCGTCCGCACCGATCACCTAAAACATAAAGAAACAATGTATATAATGTATAATAAATTTGAGATCATTTTCTTCTGTAAGGATAATTTTGAGAATTAGACTAAAAAAGCATTTATTTTGAGGTCATCAGCTATGGCTAGGTATGCCTTAATGTATTTAATCGCAATGTAAGTCAAGAAAACGCCTATTATTTAAAATTAAATTATTTTTAGACTTAACAATAGAAAATTACTGCAATTTTATTACAATTTAATAATAAATTTGATTAAAGTAATCCGCCACACTAATCTATGTGGATCCAAAAAAGACCTTTACCTGAACAATTTGTGGTTTAAAATCATCTTGTTTTATCACAGTAGTTTGTTGTTGTTGCTGTTGTTGCTGCTGCTGTTGTTGCTGTTGCTGCTGCTGCTGCTGCTGTTGTTGTTGTTGTTGTTGTTGCTGCTGCTGCTGTTGTTGTTGCTGTTGTTGCTGTACTTGTTGCTGCTGCTGTTGTTGCTGCTGCTGTTGTTGTTGTTGTTGTACTTGTTGTTGTTGTTGTTGCTGATTCGTCTGCGAGGTGCTCAAACAGTGCCTCGTTATCTTGCAATGCTGATGTAGCTCTGATTTACTTTTGAACGCTTCACCGCATTCGAAACACGCAACAACGCCGTCTGCTGTATGGATTCTGAAAAAAAAATTGGGTCAACATTGCATTGGCATTCCAGTTAGAATCAGAATCATGGGTATCACCAGCCGATGATTTAGGATAGGTCTAGGGACGAGGGCGGCTATCATTAATATGGGTTTATTTAAAGTTGTTTTTGATATTTGGATTCTCAGATGACGCCCATGAGAAGAATGAAAGTTGTCTCGGCGGACGCACTTCATGTGTGCGACGAGCGTGCGCTTCTGCAGGAACTCCTTGCCGCAGACGGGACAGGCGTGCGGCACGCGGCCGTGCGCGCGCCCGTGGTTCACCAGCTGGAACTTGCGCGCGAACGCCGCGCCGCAGTCGGGGCACACGAACGGTGACAGCGACCCGTGAAACCTGCTGTGCATCACCAGGTGCTCCTGAAATATTATACATTTCATTATAAATAACATACGCATCACTGAACCAGGCTGCTTAAATATACATAAGTTAACCGGCTACTTGTAAATTTACATTTTGGAGGTCGTATTCTAAATTGCCATTGTTCGGCAATATGTGTTGAATGCTGAGTACAGAGGCAGTACCTTTTGCGCGAAGTTCTCGCCGCAGTCGCTGCAGACGTAGGGGCGCTCTCCGGCGTGGTACTTGCTGTGGGTGACGAGGTGTCGCTTCAGCGGGAACCCGCGCCCGCACTCCCCGCACATGAACGGCCGCCCGCGGCTGTGCACCTGTCACACACAACCATACAATACAACATACAACACATAAAAATTTTACTTTCACTTAATTTCATGAAACCTTACTCAGTTTAGGCCACATTTCAACGAACTCCCTTAGTTACCACTTAACGATTCTGAGTATGACTGTTATAGTGATCAGTCTGCAAAATAATTACGAATCGAATGATACATGAAATCTGCATCGGTAAATCATTTAAGCTATATACATACTCTTGGAAAACATTTATATCAGTAGAGTAATAGAGTATGTTACCCTGGAGTGCGTGACGAGGTGATGCTTGAGCGTGAAGGCCATCTTGCACTCGTGGCACTTGAAGGGGCGGTCTGCGGAGTGCAGCAGCAGGTGCGTGTTGAGGCAGTGCTTGCGCGCGAACGCCTTGCCGCAGTGCGCGCACACGTGCGGCCGCTCCCCTGCACACAACACAACACTGTACTGTACCGACACATTCACTGCAGAGCTAGTTGTTGCCACTAATTTCGACAAAGTCAACTAATCTATGAATCGCAACAGCAATGGAAAGATCATATACAAAGTATTTATAGTAATACCAGCTGTAGCCCGCGACTCCTTCTGTGGGGTATTAAAAATAAACTTTATGAGCAGCCTATGTGTTCTTCCAAACAATGTTCTACATGCATGCCAAATTTCAGCGAAATCCGGACAGCCATTTTCAATATCTTCAAACAAACATCCACCCAAACATTAGCATTTATAATATTACTAAGATTCAGACTAATTTAATTTTAGCAGAGTTCCCCCAAAATTTCTATCACGATAATTTTAAGATATAAAATTAGTAAGTTTTACTTACCTGTGTGTACTCTTGCATGCGTGGTCAGATGATGCTTGAGAAGGAATGACTTGCCGCATTCGTCGCAGGAGTAGGGGCGCTCCTTGACGCCGGCAGTGGGGGCAGGTGCATGCCCCGCCAGCAGCACTGCACCACCCAGCACCTCCGTCTGTGAATACACCGCCTCAACCTTCCACACTGTACTACTTGCCACTACACACACTATACTATACACTATGCATGGTGTTGGTAAATAATTTAAAGTTAAGTTATATTTCAATAAAGAAAATACTGACAATTAAAGGAAAGAGTTTACAAAAGAAGAAATTACAAATCAAATTTAATTTTAAAAATATAAATGATTAACTTTTTGAAGTAATTGTTATGTGATAAGGTATAAATACTTACTTTGGGTGAATTATTTGCAGTTCCTGGTTCTTGTTTAGTATGCAGCATATTATGTTGATGTACTGTTGTGGTTTGTATGGTGTCAGCTTGGCTCTGGGCTACTTCCGTTATTGTCTTTAGGCTGCCGTTTAACAATGTGTGGTTGAGTTGTGATGCATCTATCACCGGTGTAGCTATACCCTGTGCTTGCAGCGCTCTTTTCATTAAGATTTCGTTGCATTCTTCTGCTGTTAACTGGATAGGTCCGATGGGTGTGAGAAATTGTTTAGGACCAAGATTTGTTGCTATAAAAAAAATGACAATATATTTATTAGAATTATACCAAAGGTGATTAGCACATATTACAATCTTCATGTCATTTTAGAAACACTAATCAAACAAAGGTCTGAACTAAATTTTGTTTATATCACAAAAGTTGTAATTTTTACATTTAATATTTAATATTACAATCAATTAAGATTATCAAAGTCTTTAATAACTTAATTTTACAAAATAAAATTCATAAAGAGCATATTATTAGCTTACTTTGTATTGTAGCAGTCTGGTTTTGTTGTGAGACCCTGTTCAGTGTGTGTGCTGGCGCCTCACTCACTACAAACATCCTCCGTGAGGTGACTGGAGTACCTGTAGCCACCACCCTGGTCACCTGTGCTGCATTTGACACAGCTACTACTGTGCCAACTTTCTCCTGCACTTGCGGTGACTTATGTGACATAACCGTCAGTGTGGTTTCGGGTGAAATCTAAGAGTTTGAAAAAATATTTGTGATAATTTTTATTTGATAAAGGAACAAATGAATTGTAGTCTAATTGTAAGTGAACAATTAATACATCAATTGACAGAAGAAACAAATTAATGAAATACAAGAGCTTGCTTAATAAGTTTCTAATTAGTATTAGCTCAGTCAAAATTATTCTTTATAATAACAAAAACATGGACTGATTAGATGGTTATTTTGTAATATTTTTCACTCTCATCCAGTTTCAGTCAGTCAGGTTTTTTATTTTTTTGTACATGTTATTGTTGTGATGTTATTATTTAATTAATTCTTATAAGAAGAAATTTAATAAAGTTTTAACATACCTTCACAAACTAGTTTGATTTTAAAACTATGTTATTGTTTTCCCAAAAAAAATAATAATAATAAAAAATATTTTAAGGACCGTAAATAATATATTCAGCGTTTACTTCTTTGTTATGATTATTTAAATGGGTAAATATAAAATAAGAAACTACTTACCGTGTTCCCTAAAGTATAACTTAAACTGCTTGGAGTTTCCACCTCGCCCTTCGTCAGGTCGGCGGAGCTGGTAAAGCCCCACGAGTAACCGAAGCCCGACACATTGCTCGGCGTTGGCATACACATGTTGACAACAAAATCCTATGTCGCGCCGATAAACAAATTAACCAACACAAGTCCACAGTCCCGATAGTAAACACTACTCCTCATGACAGTTCGACCATTACCTATATGTACGCTTTCACAACTACTAATGCAAAACGCACCCATCAAAAACACAACGCCGCATAAACACTTATATTTGATAACACATACACTGATAAATAATAGTTAACAAACTTTTGTTGATTTTACGTGAAAAAATAACGTCGATTACTACTAAATTAGACCAATGAAGTCAGTAAAAAAGGCGGTATAGGACGCTGCAGACATGATTGACACACACGTAATCTGTCTTAAACTTATTAATTTTTTGCATATTTATCGTGTAATAGTACCTCATTTTATATATTATAATATAAACAACATAAAAACATTAACACTCAACTACACATTTCAATATTACGAAAACAATAATTTTATCGCACACACAAAAAACCAGGCGCCATTTTATTGTTTATGGTCACTTAAAGTTTTTAATAGGGACTTTTCATCTGTAACAATGATAAATGGTTATTATGCCAAAAACTTCTACTTGGACTCGATATATTTTAGTTTTAGTTTTAAAAAAAGATTTTGTAACATTGTTCATATTAAACAAAAAAAATTACACAAATGTTAATAAAGAATTCTCTACAAAATTAAATAAAAATTAAGGACTAAAAATGTAAAATAGAGAGATGGAGAGTACTACGAGGCGAACCGGCTTTTGGTGGTCTAATTTTTGCAACTGGTAACAAAATAACTACAGATGTCAAACTATCTTATTGAAAAGGAGTCAAGGAGTAAAATAAAACGTTAATTTCATATTGTTTGACAAATTACTTCTTATATATGTTATTTAGTGATTTGCATCTTAACTCTAGGCATTAGACCAATTTCGGAAAGTCGATCGTGTTATTACAAATTTTGATAATAGTGTACAAATATCCAAAATAACGACATGAATCCTATGTCCGTGGACAGGGATGAGCCTTCATCTTTGTCTTCATTTTCCACAAATCACCCGCTGGAACAATTCGTGCTATTAGCAAAGGGTGCCAAAGGTTTCGCTTGTGCCGAACTAATAAAGCAAGTACTAGAAGCACCCGGGGTACATGTTTTCGGCGAACTTCTAGAAATGCCAAATATCAAAGAGGTTAGCTATTACGTTTTACTGATTATATGTTATATACAGCTCATTTGCCAATTGGCATAGGATGTATTTAATAGTTAATATACTATTTTTTGTCATTGTCCACCATTTATTTGTGAAAAACTTTAGCTTCCTCTTTTAGAAATTATAGTTATTAGTAACAGCCTTATACTAAAAAGATTTTATTTCATACTTATGTTTTTAATTTCAATGATGAAATAAACCATGGAATAATTGAAAAACTAACAAATCTGTATTTCATCATGCATATTTTATTTCAGTTGGAAACTGGACCCTATGCAACACACTATAAGACATTAAATCTATTTGCATATGGCACATATAAGGAATATCTAGAGAACAAGTCTGAATATTTGGAACTGACACCTGTACAGTGCAAGAAACTACAACACCTCACCATTGCAACATTAGCAACACAAGAGAAATGTATACCATATAGTGTGCTCTTAAAGGAATTAGATATCAAAAATGTTAGAGATTTGGAAGATTTAATTATAGAAGCAATTTACGCAGGTGAAGCTACTTTGTATAATAACTTGTTGATAAAACATTAATCTTTATAACACTCATGAAAAACATATCATTTAAATGGCACCTTATTTATATGATTTGGGTAGCCATGACCAATTTGTCTTTTTGCCAAAGTAAAACGATTTTTTTTTATATTTTCAATTGCATTTCAATCTATTAAATAAATACTTATTACAGTTTTGTTAAATGCATTTGAGTAATTCAAAAAATAATTGTTATTTCATCTCTACTGTGTATTACAGATATTATTCACGGTAAACTGGATCAAGAATGCAAGCGTGTAGAGGTTGATGTTGCTCTGGGTAGGGATGCCAGGCTGGAAGATGCATCCGGTATTGCAGATGTGTTGGCTGACTGGTGTAATGCATGCGAGGCTGTGCTCAGCTCTGTAGACAGGCACATACAGCGAGCCAATCTTCATAAACAAAAAGCACTCAGACATCAACAGGGCATTGAACAGGAGGTAGGTTTAATAGTGACTAATATACAGTAACGATAACCCTTATAAATGAATAGTTAACTTAAAGGAAGGTATCAATATCATATTAGACACTGCCCACAACAAAATTTTACATACTGGAGGTATGGAAAGCAATATGGAGCATCTGCATACTCTTTTGTGTACATGCTCTGCCCACTTAAAAAAAATGCAATATCAAATAACTGTTAACTGTTACAATAAAATTAATATCTAAGTTTAGGGGTTAGTTCCAAATTTTTTGTTTATACTGCAATTGTGTGTATAATTTAATTCCAGATATCATATATAAAGAAGACATTGAAGACACAAGCGGAGAACGACGAGTCGGGCGCGGGCGGCGGCAGTGAATCGCACTCCGCGCCCAAAAAGTCGTCGGGCAAGAGCAAGACTCCCCGCAACGCTTCCAAGTTCTGGCACAAGAACACATAATGCTCCCCACCAATGTACATAACTTGTGATATGTTAATAAAAATATAGGTATTTCTTGCTTATTCATTCACTCTTATTAATTATATGAAAACATGTTTGTAATCCCTCCCATATCCTCCTATGTTTCAGCAGAAGAAACCTACTTCTATAAATATATAAATATATATTAAAAGTGATTGCAAAGAATGGAATAAGGTAGATCATACTATGCTTCAGTGTGGTATGCATTTTACACAGGATCAAAAACTACCAAGGTTTGTATGTTAAATGTTTATCATGTAACATGATGGTAATACAAACTTACTCTACCATGGACCCTCAAAGGCTTGGTAGTATGGAATTGTGCATAACCGTCACACGTCCTATTTTAGTTTTTTTAAATTACTTGTTCCAATTTCAATGATATGTGCAAATAAACAATATTTTGTAGACCTATACTATTGTACTCTAAGTAGCTTTAGTTGTTACCAAAAAGAATAACATAGCAACACTAATCGGTTAAACGTCAAACATTAGAGTGAGACAAAATAGACGAGTTCTAGGCTAGAGACTGAGACAAAAAATCAAGTTCCCTTCAATGTGCGAGTCGAGTTGTCGAGGCGATTGTTTTTGACGCAGCAGCGCAAATAAATTGCGCAGGCAGTGCAACGATTATTACGTTCGCAGGCCGCTGGAAAGTGATGTAAATAATACATAAAAAACCCGTAACATTATAAACAAAGACGATAGATTCGAACTTACATTATCAAATAATAAAAAATACTTGTGTCGTGGTATTTGTCAACACCATAGCAACCGAGAAGTGAAATACGACTCTAGTGATAATTGACTATTTCTGCAATGGATCCGTGATTTTTATAATAACTTTAATTTGAAATATATTTTGTTGGACAGACTTTTATTTTTTAATAGTGCTACATTTCGAGAGCGTTTACGTATTGGATGAACAGAAAGGCAAGTAAGCCCTTTGTTATGTTCATAGCGATCACTATACGTAATAAGTCAACACTGGGTCCTGGGGTTTGTTTGTCATCACCATTAACTAATCATTAGTATATGTAATGGAAACAATACGTAATTGACGAATCGATAATGTTATATTTAGTTGGTACGCGTGTAGTCGTTTCAACTACGTTCTTTGTTTGTGTGCGTGATTTTCTTTGTTGTGGAACCGTCAGCTGTTCACCGGATCGGCGGCGGGTTGCGGCGCGCGGGGGGCGAACCCGTCAGACTAGTGCCGGCCGATCTCTATTATATATTGAAGACTTGATCCATTCCTGGTGCATAGCACAATGCATCATCAGTTTCTTACGTCCTGAAAATAACATATACATAGTAGTATGACATGTAGAATACATGTCACCGATCAATTACGAATTTCGTTAATTTATAATATACCTAGCTACCATTATTATAATAATTACCATTCCGAACGCAAGAATTACTACACCATTGTTATTATATGGCTTACAAAGAATCAATCTTGCATAACATGACATTTTACAATAATACAACATCACTCATGAATTATAATTTACTTTTTTTACTTAATTGCAATGATAACAATTATTATAAGTATTTTTATCTCAGGTCACTATAGTAATTATAATTCCATATCTTAGTTACAAACAATCGAATTAATTACCTTATTACGTGTAATTATTCCATTTATCATAGCAACTGTTACATTATATGAAAATACTTATACTATAAAAAGACAAACACCTAACAAACCTATTGCAAATAAATCCAAATGTGATACAATATACTTTTATTGTCCTCATACAACTGTAGGTGTTTACTACAATTTTTTTTATTCGTCACTTGTTGCTCGAAGGACCATAATGCCATAGTTGCCAGTTTTCTAAGTCAAATTAATCAAAGTGTGGTATTAATGGCACCATGGAATGCGTGTCTCTTCGTACCGCAATGTGTATATAGTACGCTTGGAATATCCGATACAAATAGCAACACAAAAGAGCAACAGAAAACAATTTCTGTGGTGCCAGTAAGTATAATTTTATACTTTTAAAGACGTTCAATGTAGATTGAAATAATAAATTTCTAGTAAAGGCTTCCACTTCGTCTCGAGAGTACAACAAAGAGTTAAATAATTCCCTTCGTGAGAAGAAAAGTCTATTAACAGTACCGTGGTTAATTGCAAACCGTGCGCTAAGACCATGAACTCTAAAATCCTTTTTTCACTAGCGCGACTGTGGTTCTGATGACTGCCATTTATATGGCAACCGTGGCCGCGACCGCGTCACGGGAAATAGTACATAACATTGCTCTTAGAAAGCAGTCGCACAGCTTATGGTTAAGTGGAAAAGGATTCTAATGGAATAGGATTACGAAGCGACGTGGCGAATCGCAAATTGCCGGTCGCGTTTCATTATAGAACATATTGTCCGAAGCAACCGTGGCCCTGGACTCCATTAAAACTCTGGGCACCTTCGTACTTTGATAGCCGTTCATTTCCACGATTCATTAGTTTCTTCCACTACTTTGCTGTCGTTTTGCAATCTTTCAATTTTTCTTTTATGTAGGACGTAATATTTTTTGGCCTAGTCTGTGTCTTACATATAAATTATTGTCTGGACTGGTCTGGTATTATTTCAATATTAAAGTATACAGTATCTATACTTATAATCGCTTTAGTGGCCACAGTTGTCTGGTTTCCGAGTCGACCCATAATGCAATATACAAGAGTCTGCAAACGTCATGGCATTCCTTGTAACGTCACTGTGTAGAACTAACTTTACTTACCTAGTATTGAATGTTCTACTAAAACACTAGTGGTTCAGTGCTGCAAAAACTATTGCATTTTAGCGCAAGCTTATATAACTATAGCG